CCCCAAAACCCCAAAACCCCAAAACCCCGAAAGCAATAAAAGTGAAAATTTAGAAGATTTAGATGCTATATCAATTTAATTGCTTGCTGGAATATTCTCCATTAAACTCTTAAGCAATTAATGGATATGTTTGTATTTAATATAATAATAATAAAATAACAACTAGAATGAGAATCCCAACCACAGTGGCTTTAATGTTACTGCATTTTGGATTGCTAACCTAGACAGCTAATGCTTTAACAAGCGCAATCTGTAACTACAAAATGTTTCCAGTCTTTGCTGGAGGATCCAAAGATGAGTTCGTGAATGCAGTTGAAATCGACAGATCTCAAAAGTATATCCTAGTAGGAGGTAAAACTCAATCAAGCAATTTTGCTCCAGCAGAAAATGATCACGGTTATGTGTACGCCCTAGACATGAATGGCAACTGGATGTGGGGCAATTTCTTCTATAATGTCTCCTATGCTGTAGCTGATGTTAATGGAATTCATATGTCCTCACAAAATACTTATGTTAATGTCATAGGGCAGGCTAACTCAAAACCTATTGTTATGACATTGAGTAAAACTGATGGTTAAATTAAGCAGTTCCTTACTTTGGAACCTGTAGCCGCCTAATAATCGGTTCCCACTTATTACATGTACAGCAGTGTCTACTTTGATGAGAAGGACAGTTTAGATTCCAATTCCTATATGTATGTAGCCTTTGGTATGGGCACAAACTACGACATGCATATTGTAAGAATTCTCAACAAAAATCTAGGAGAAACTCTTTAGATAGATTGGCACATTAGATTCACCAGACCTTCAAACGCTATTACAACCAGCATGAACATTCCAAGATATCTTCTTCAAGATAAGAACGATGCAGGATACTTCTACATAACTGGAATGTATAATAACATTGGTTCAGTCACCAAATTCCAAAAACGTGATGCAAGTCTCATCTATAGAGTTTTCTTCAAGAAATCTACTGATCCCGAACCAACAACGAATGGATTAACTGATATCACAGCTCAAGTTATGACTTCTAACGGTCAAATGATCGGATGTGGAAAACACTCAACTGGTCTGCAGGCTGGTTTCTTCAGAATGGAAAGCGATGGAAAGGTCAAATACTTCAGTTCCATTACCACAGTGGGAGTTCAGATACTCTGCAATGGAATTACCTATGATGAATCCTTAGGAGTTGCTACTCTTCTTCTTTCCTCAATGGCTGTAGGATTAAAGACCTCTTTAAATACTGATTCAGCTACTCTTGATGCTTTTCTATACTAAATTAATGATGCCGGCTCACTATCTAAGGCTAAGCACATCACTTTTAGTAAGGGCAGTGAAAAGATCTCTACTGTTCTTGAAACCAACCTTCTTCATAAACTTGATGATTATTACATTTGGGCTGGAACAACTATAGGATTCTACACTGATTACCAATCATCTAAATTTACTAACTCTAAGACTAATTCTTTCGTCATGAGATATCTTTATGACACTACTACTACCCAGAGATGTATTAAAGATCAAGATGTCACACTTACTTCTACCATAAAGGGATACTGTAAGTCAATTTTTCAATAATTCTTTAATAGTTAAGGAGTAAACTCCAACTGATTGGACTACTTTTGTCTCTTAACAAACAGTGACAAGTAATGGTGTTCTAAATAAGCTTTCCAAATGGTTAGCCGTCTATAAATCACCATACTCTGGTGCTTTTGAGCTCCTCGACACTCAATATGTTCCAAGACCTTGTGCAAGTAGTACAGTTAACATTACACAGATGGATTACTTCTACGGGCAAAGATAAAAGCAATATGATTTGATTAAGTCTGGAGTTCAAAATGTACTCTCTAAGATGACACCCGAGCAAGAATTCGTGTTTTAAAATGGAACAGCAGCCAAATTGTTTGCCTGGCTTGGAACAAATACTATAGCTAACAAGACTATAGTTTATGTTCAAACCAATGACGAAGCTCTAGTTGGAACTCAAAGATTGGTTATCAGAGGCTGTGATTCATTAAATAATCTTCATGAAATCAACTATTACATCAATGTTTCTTCAAACTCTGCCCCAGAATTTGACACAGATATTTAGACTTAATGGAACTTAAATCTCAACGATAATATTACCTATAAACTCCCACCTTTCTCAGACCCAGAGGGTAATGATGTTGGTGAAGTATATATCAACGCTATGGAGAATTAAGACTTCCCTAAGTTCGTCAAATACATTAATTCTTCTCAAACTATCATCATGAACCCAACAAGCAGACTATTTAATGGAAGAACCTACTATTTCTCAGTTGTATTGAAGGAAAAGAACTCAGATTTCATGATGAACACTTACTACATGACTATTAAGATGAGCGGAGATCCTATCGATGAAGCTAATGAAATGGAAAATGCAACTAAGATTCAAATGACTATCCCTTATCTTAACTATCACTCTGAAGGTGTTTTCAAGTTCTCTCACCCAGTTGACATGAAATTCGTCTAAAATAACTTTGCTAAAGTCTTCAAGGTCTATATCAACAATACTGAGAAAAAGAGAGAAGAACTTAGAAGCATTGAATATACATGGATTCCTGGTAGCAACACTACTTTCAACTTTACAGCAAGATTCTAAGAGCCTTACATGTATGGACTGCTCAATAAAAGAAATGATTTGCTGATATTCGAATGTCTGAACTAATCCCTCATTATCCTGAATGCTTCTGGAGAGATTCTTGCCAGTTCAATTGCTAGCAAGAGAATTGACATGCAGTTTGATTTTAGAGGTAATCATTAATTCAATCCTATTTTAACACTTTGGAATAGATGAAAAGATGCAGTTTATGAGAAACACTTCAATTGCTCTCTATTATGTCATGATTGCCATTGTAGTTGTTCAATTCTTCATCTTGTTCTTTAAGAACGTAGGATTCCTTCCACTTTGGACTTTAATTGAGTACATGCAACTGATTGCATTCATGCCTCTATACAACTTCAAACTTATTCCCTACCTATATGATCTATTCAAGCCATTTCTTATTTCTCACTTGATCTTGTTCGATAACTCAATCCTTTATCAAGAAATGAACGATGACTATTTCAACATTAACTATGAGTACTATTGGCTCCCAATTAGCAAGTTGATTCAATCATTAATGAATATTTGCATCTTGGCTTTGGTTGTTGGAATTGCTAATGTCATCATCTATGTGCTTTCGCTTTCAATGAAAGAGAGCAAATGGGGATAATTCATTCAAAGCAGACTCGGTCAGTTTAAGTTCAATGCATACTTAAGACTCTACATGCTCGCATACTTTGACTTAACATTCTTCTCTATCATGAAGATTATCGAGGGTAACAATCAAACTCCAATGAGACAAGTAGCTCTATTCTTCTCTTATGCCTTCTTTGTTGTCTCAATTGTAGCTCCAGTGTTCTTCTTAGCACTATTGCTCACCAGATTCAGAATTCTTTCGGAAACAGCTGGTAAAGCAAAGTTCAACTCCTTAATCCTTAAAATTGATAAGGCCTCAAGATGGAGAATCATTCACGTAGGATTCTTCTTCGGTAGAAGACTTCTCACAGCTATGCTATTGACCCTACCAATTGATAACTAGTACATCTTCTTGCAGTACATTTTCATTCTAGTATCCTCTCACGCCTACATTCTCTACATGGTTGCAACCAAACCATATCAGACCCCACTTATGAACGGCTATATCCTTGCTAATGAGACCTTCTACTCTGCTCTCATTATCTTGATCTTTATCTTCTCAGATGCCACTCCACAACTCCACATCAAGGTTGTAGCTGGAATCGCACTTATCGTCTCAATTTTCCTTTTGGTTCTTGCCAACTTGATCTTCATTGGATATACTGTCTGGAGAGGAAAGGAAAAACTTAAAGAGGACATCAAGAAAGCTAAATAAGACAGAATTGAGCAAGAAGAAAAAGAGAGACAAGAAGAAGAGGAAAGAAAAGCCAAAAAGAAGAAGGAAGAAGAAGAATTCTCAAGTAAGCATTTTTTTATTAATATTTTCTATTTAGAACTCCCCGATGAGACAAACAATGTCAGTCAAAGTCAAGATATTAACAACACCACTCATCAAGGAAATACCACTATTTCAGAGCTAAATCTAAATAAAAAGAAGGGTAAGGTACAAAAGAAAAAAGTTGAAGATGCTGTTGAGGAGATTTCTCAACCCACAACCAAGGGACCTCTTGGAAAGAAATCTAACTATACCAACAGCAAGGATCCAAGCAGTGATGAGAAATTCAACAGAACAGGTAGTGCTGAAAGTGATCCCAAGAAGAAAGCCAAAGGCAAGGGCCAATCATCTGACGATAAAGTGTCAAGAGACTCAGCCTCCCAAGATTCAGAAAGAGGAAGAAGAATTATTCAATGAGCAACTTGTTTTTCTGTCTCGTCATAATATGACATTTAATTTTATCTCTCTTGCGATTTATATATAATTTCGCCTAAGTATTTATAGTTTTACTACTTTCAATTTAATCGATTGGGGTTTTGGGGTTTTGGGGTTTTGGGG